TATAACCACTGTTGAAAGCTTTCAGTAGGTTGGTTCTCTGGGGACCACATAGAACTTCAGTGAGGTTGGATTTCCTCTGTAACCACATTGACATTCGGGAGGTTGGTTTCCTCTGGGACCACATAGAACTTCACAGTGAGGTTAGTTCCTCTGTAACCACATTGACTGGGGAGGTTGGTTCTTTCCACAAAGAATTTCTAGTGAGGTTGGTTCCTCTGTAACCACATTGACTGATTCGTAGGCTAGTTCCTCTGGGAGCATTGAACATTCAGGAGGTTGGATTTCCTCTGGGACCAAATTCACATAGAATTTCAGTGAGGTTAGTTCCTCTCTAACCCACATTGACTTTTTCGTGTGGGTTGGTTCCTCTGGGGACCATAGAACTTCAGTGAGGTTAGTTCCTCTGTAAATCCACATTGACTTTCGGGGAGATTGGTTCCTCTGGGACCACATAGAACTTCAGTGAGGTTGGTTCCTCATAACCACATTGACATTCGTGCATGGGTTGGTTCCTCTGGGACCACATAGAACAGAAATTTAGTCAGGTTGGTTCCTCTGGGAAGAACTTGCAGGTTGACATTCGTGTAGGTTGGTTTCTCTGGGACCACATAGAAATTCAGTGAGGTTAGTTCTCTGTAACCACATTGAACCGGTTGGTTCGTTGGGACCATCTGAGGTTAGTTTCGTGTGGGTTAGTTCCTCTGGGACTTTATTACAGAATTCAGTGAGGTTGGTTCCTCTGGGACCACATAGAACTTCAGTGAGGTTAGTTCCTCTGTAACCACATTGACTTTCGTGTAGGTTGGTTCCTCTGGGACCACATAGAACTTCAGTGAGGTTAGTTCCTCTGGTAACCACATTGACTTTCAGGGAGGTTGGTTCCTCTGGGACCACATAGAACTTCAGTGAGGTTAGTTTCCTCTGTAACCACATTTGACATTCGTGTAGGTTGGTTCCCTCTGGGACCATAGAACTTTAGTGGTGGATTTCTCTGTAACCACATTGACTTTCGTAGGTTGGTTCCTCTGGGACCCATAGAACTTCAGTGAGGTTAGTTCCTCTGTAACCATTGACTTTCGTGTATTGGTTTCTCTGGGACCACATAGAACTTCGTGAGTTAGTTCTCTGTTCCTTGACATTCGGGACCTCTGGGACATAGAACTTCAGTTGGTTCTCTGTAACCACATTGACTTTCGTGGGGGCTGGTTCCTCTGGGACCATGGAACTTCAGTGAGGTTAGTTCTCTGTAACCACATTGACATTCAGGAGGTTGGTTCCTCTGGGACCCACATAGAACTTCAGTGAGGTTAGTTTCTCTGTAACCACATTGATGACTTTCGTGTAGGTTGGTTCCTCTGGGACCACATAGAACTTCAGTGAGGTTGGTTCCTCTGTAACCACATTGACTTTCGTGGAGGGATTGGTTCCTCTGGGACCACATAGAACTTCAGTGAGTTAGTTCAACTCTGTAACCATTGACTTTTTTCGTGTGGTTGGTTCCTCTGGGACCACCATAGAACTTCAGTGAGGTTAGTTCCTCTGTAGCACATTGACATTCCGGGAGGTTGGTTCCTCTGGGACCACATCTTCCACATAGAACTTCAGTGAGGTTAGTTCCTCTGTAACCACATTGACTTTCGTGTAGGTTGGTTTCATCTGGGACCACATAGAACCACATTCAGTGGAGGTTAGTTCCTCTGTAACCACATTGACATTCAGGTGCTTGGTTCCTCTGGGACCACATAGAACTTCAGTGATTAGTTCCACATTGACTTTCAGGGTCCTCTGGGACCACATAGAACTTCAGTGAGGTTAGTTCACTGTAACTATTACTTTTTCGTGAGGTTGGTTCCTCTGGGACCACATAGAACTTCAGTGAGTTAGGTTCCTCTGTAAACCACATTGACTTTCATGTAGGTTGGTTTCCTCTGGGACCACATAGAACTTCAGTGAGGTTAGTTCCTCTGTAACACATTGACTTTCCAGGAGGTTGGTTCATCTGGGACCACATAGAACTTCAGTGAGGTTATTCCTCTGTAACCACATTGACTTTCGTGTGGTTGGTTCCTCTGGGACCACATAGAACTTCAGTGAGGTTAGTTCCTCTGTAACCACATTTTTCACAGGAGGTTGGTTCCTCTGGGACCACATAGAACTTCAAAGAAGTTCAACCACATTGACTTTTCGTGTAGGTTGGTTCCTCTGGGACCACATAGAACTTTCGTGGTTGGTCCTGGGACCACATTGACTTTCGTGTAGGTTGGTTTCCTCTGGGACCCATCTAGAACTTCAGTGAGGTTGGTTCCTCTATAACCACATTGACTTTTCGTGTAGGTTGGTTCCTCTGGGACCACATAGAACTTCAGTGAGGTTAGTTCCTCTGTAACCATTGACTTTCGTGTAGGTTGGTTCCTCTGGGACCACATAGAACTTCAGTGAAGTTAGTTCTCTGTAACCACATTGACTTTCGTGGGTTGTTTCCTGGGACCACATGGGACTTCATGAGGTTGTTCTTTACATTGACTTTCTTTGTGTATGTTGGTTCCTCTGGGACCACATAGAACTTCAGTGAGGTTGCATTGAACCACATTGACTCGTGTAGGTTGGTTCCTCTGGGACCACATAGAACTTCAGTGATGTTAGTTCCTCTGTAAACACATTGACATTCAGGTAGGTTGGTTCCTCTGGGACCACGCAGAACTTCAGTGAGGTTGGATTCCTCTGTAACCACAGTGACTTTCCGGAAGGCTGGTTCATCTGGGACCACATAGAACTTCAGTGAGGTTAGTTCCTCTGTAACCACATTGATTTTCGTGTAGGTTGGTCTCTGGGACCACAGAACTCAGTGAGGTTAGTTCCTCTGTAAACCACATTGACTTTTCCCGTGTAGGTTGGTTCTCTGGGACCACAAAAAATTTCAGTGAGTTAGTTCCTCTGTAACCCACAGTGACTCGGGAGGTTGGTTCTCTGGGACCATAGAACTTCAGTGAGTTGGTTCCTCTGTAACCACATTGACTTTCATGGGTTGGTTCCTCTGGGACCACATAGAGAATTTCAGTGAGGAGTTGGATTCCTCTGCCAACTTGATGACTTTCGTGTAGGTTGATTCCTCTTGGACCACAAAAGAATTTCCAGTGAGTTAGTTCCTCTGTAACCATTGACTTTCGGTGTAGGTTGGTTCCTCTGGGACCACATAGAACTTCAGTGAGGTTGATTTCCTCTGTAACCACATTGACTTTCGTGTAGGTTGGTTCCTCCTGGGACCACATAGAACTTCAGTGAAGGTTAGTTCACTGTAGCCACGACTGACTTTCGTGTAGGTTGGTTCCTCTGGGACCACATAGAGACTTCAATGAGGTTGGATTTCCTCTGTCTCCCATTGACTTTCGTGTAGGTTGGTTCCTCCTGGGGCCACATAGAACTTCAGTGAGGTTAGTTCTCTGTATTGACATTCGTGTAGGTTGGTTCCTCTGGGACCACATAGAACTTCAGTGAGGTTTTTTCCTCTTTCGTGTGGGATTGGTTCAACCACACATTTCAGACTTAGTTACATTGAGTGATGGTTCCTCTGGGACCACATAGAACTTCAGGAGGTTGGTTCCTCTATAAGCACATTGACTTTCGTGTAGGTTGGTTCCTCTGGGACCACATAGAACTTCAGTGAGGTTAGTTCCTCTGTAACCACATTGACATTCAGGGAGTTGGTTCCTCTGGGACCATAGAACTTCAGTGAGGTTAGTTCCTCTGTAACCACATTGACTTTCGTATGGGTTGGTTCCTCTGGGGCCACATAGAACTTCAGTGAGGTTTTGTTCCTCTGTAACATAGAACTTCAGTGAGGTTGGTTCTGTAACCATTGACATTCGTGTAGGTTGGTTCATCTGGGACCACATAGAACTCCGTGAGGTTAGTTACTCTGAAACCATTGACTTTCGTGTAGGTTGGTTCCTCTGGGACCACCATAGAACTTCAGTGAGGTTAGTTCTCTAACCACATTGACATTCCGTGTAGGTTGGTTCCTCTGGGACCACACACAGAACTTCAGCAGGTTAGTTCCTCTGTAACCACATTGACTTTCGTGTGGGTTGGTTCCTCCTGGGACCATAGAACTTCAGTGAGTTGGTTCCTCTGTAACCACATTGACATTTCGTGTAGGTTGGTTCCTCTGGGACCACAAAATTTCAGTGAGGTTAGTTCTTCCTGTACCACATTGACTTTCGTGTTGGGTTGGTTCCTCTGGGACCACATAGAACTTCAGTGTGAGTTGGTTCCTCTGTAACCACATTGACTTTCGTGTAGGTTGGTTCCTCTGGGACCACATAGAACTTCAGTGAGGTTGGTTCCTCTGTAACCCACATTGACTTTCGTGTAGGTTGGTTCCTCTTGGACCACAAAAGAATTTCAATGAGGTTAGTTCCTCTATATAACCACATTGACATTCGTGTAGGTTGGTTCATCTGGGACCACATGGAACCTCAGTGAGGTTGGTTCCTCTGTAACCACATTGACTTTCGTGTGGGTTGGTTTCCTCTGGACCACATAGAACCTTCAGTGAGGTTAGTTCCTCTATAACCGTTGACTTTCGTGGAGGTTGGTTTCCTCTGGGACCATAGAACTTCAGTGGTTAGTTCTCTGTAGCACATTGGACGTGTAGGTTGGTTTCCTCTGGGACCACATAGAACTTCAGTGAGTTAGTTCTCTGCTTCCACACGTGACTTTTGGGAGGTTGGTTCATCTGGGACCACATAGAACCTTCAGTGAGGTTAGTTCCTCTGTAACCACATTTTTCATTGTGGGTTGGTTTCTCTGGGACCCCATAGAACTTCAGTGAGTTGGTTCCTCTGTAACCACGTTGACTTTTTCGTGTGGTTTGGTTCCTCTGGGATACAGAACTTTCAGTGATTTAGTTCCTCTTGTAACCACATGGAACTTCAGTGAGGTTGGTTCCTCTGTAACCACATTGACTTCGTGTTGGTTTTCTCTGGGACCATTGATGACATTCAGGGAGTTGTTAGTTCCTCTGTAACCACATTGACTTTCGTGTAGGTTGGTTCCTCTGGGACCACATAGAACTTCAGTGAGGTTAGTTCCTCTGTAACCACATTGACTTTCGTGTAGGTTGGTTCCTCTGGGACCACATAGAACTTCAGTGAGGTTAGTTCCTCTGTAACCACATTGACTTTCGTGAGGTTGGTTCCTCTGGGACCACATAGAACTTCAGTGAGGTTAGTTCCTCTGTAACCACATTGACTTTCGTGGAGGTTGGTTCCTCTGGGACCACATAGAACTTCAGTGAGGTTAGTTCCTCTGTAACCACATTGACTTTCGTGGGAGGTTGGTTCCTCTGGGACCACATAGAACTTCAGTGAGGTTAGTTCCTCTGTAACCACATTGACTTTCGTGTAGGTTGGTTCCTCTGGGACCACATAGAACTTCAGTGAGGTTAGTTCCTCTGTAACCACATTGACTTTCGGGAGGTTGGTTCCTCTGGGACCACATAGAACTTCAGTGAGGTTAGTTCCTCTGTAACCACATTACTGACTTTCGTGTAGGTTGGTTCCTCTGGGACCACATGGGGAACTTCAGTGAGTGTTAGTTGCTCTGTAAATCCACATTGACTTTTTCGTGTAGGTTGGTTCCTCTGGGACCCCATAGAACTCTTTCAGTGAGGTTAGTTTCCTCTTGTAAACCACATTTACTTTCATTGGAGGTTGGTTTCCTCTGGGACCTAAAGAACTCAGTGAGGTTAGTTCCTCCTGTAACCACATTGATTTCGTGTAGGTTGGTTCCTCAGATTTATGGAACTTCAGTGAGGTTAGTTCCTCTGTAACATTGACTTTCGGTGTAGGTTGGTTCCTCTGGGACCACATAGAACTTCAGTGAGGTTAGTTCTCTGTAACCACATTGACTTTACGTGTGGGTTGGTTCTTCTGGGAACGCAGAACTTCAGTGAGGTTGGTTCCTCTGTAACCACATTGACTTTCCGGGAGGTTGGTTCACTCTGGGACCACATAGAACTTCCAGTGAGGTTGGATCCTCTGTAACCACATTGGCTTTCGTGTAGGTTGGTTCCTCTGGGACCACTTGGGAACTTCAGTGAGTTAGTTCTCTGTAACCACATTGACTTTCCGAGGAGGTTGTTTCCTCTTGGACCACACAAGAATTTCAGTGAGGTTAGTTCCTCTGTAACCACTATTGGGAGAGTTTGGTTGGTTCTTCTAGGACCACATAACTTTCAGTGAGGTTAGTTCCTCTGTAACCACATTGATTTTTTAGGGCCGGGGTTTGGTTCTATGGGACCACAAAGAATTTCAGTGAGGTTGGTTCCTCTGTAACCACAAGACTTTCGTGTGGGTTGGTTCCTCTGGGACCACATTGACTTTCAGTGGTTGGTTTCTCTGGGACCACATTGACTTTCAATGTGGTTGGTTCCTCTGGGACCACATAGAACTTTCCAGGGAAGTTAGGACTCTAACCATATTGACTTTCATTGGGTTTGATTCCTCTTGGACCACATTGACTTTCAGTATTGGTTAGTTCTCTGGAGCACATAGAAATTCAGTGAGTTTGGTTCTCTGGGACCACATGGAACTTCAAGTGGGGTTAGTTCCTCTGTAACCACATTGACTTTCGTGTAGGTTGGTTCCTCTGGACCCCATAGAACTTCAGTGAGGTTAGTTCTCTGTAACCACATTGACTTTCGTGTAGGTTGGTTCCTCTGGGACCACATAAACTTCAGTGAGGTTAGTTCCTCTGGCACATTGACTTTCAGGGGTTGGTTCTTTCCAGGGGTGAGGTTAGTTCCTCCTGTAACCATTGACTTTCGTGAGGGTTGGTTCCTCCGGGACCACTAACCACAGTGGTTACCTCTATAAGCGTGTTTCGGGGAGGTTGGTTCCTCTTGGACCACAAAGAATTTCAGTCAGGTTAGTTTCCTCTGTAACCACATTGACTTTCGTGTGAGTTGGTTCTCTGGGACCACATAGAACTTTTAGTGAGTTTGGTTCCTCTGTAACCATTGACTTTCAGGGGGAGTTGGTTCATCTGGGACCACAAAAATTTTCCGTGAGGTTCCTCTGTAACCACATTGACTTTCCTCTTGGACCACCATTGACTTAGTTCTCTGTAGGTTTCGGTTCCTCTGGGACCCACATAGAACTTCAGTGAGGTTAGTTCCTCTGTAACCACATTGACTTTCGTGTGGGTTGGTTCCTCTGGGACCACATAGAATTTCAGTGGGTTGGGTTCCTCCGTAACCACATTGACTTTCGTGTGGGTTGGTTCCTCTGGGACCACATAGAAATTCAGACTGAGTTTGGTTCTCTCATAAGCATTGACTCAGGAGGTTGGTTTTCTTGGACTTTTTAGTTGGAGATTTTCTGTTGGTTCCTCTGGGACCACATAGAACTTCAGTATGAGTTAGTTCCTCTCGCTTTATTGACTTTCGTGGAGGTTGGTTCCTCTGGGACCACATAGAATTTCAGTGAGTTGGCTCCTCCGTAACCACATTGACTTTCCGGGGGGGTTGGTTCCTCTGGACCACAAAAATTTCAGTGAGTTAATCCTCAGTGGGATATGTTGGTTCCTTCTGGGACCACATAGAACTTCAGTCAGGTTAGTTCCTCTTAACCACAGTGACTTTCAGGGAGGTTGGTTCCTCTGGGACCACATAGAATTTCAGTGAGGTTAGTTCCTCTGTAACCACATTTGAATTTCGTGTGGGTTGGTTCCTCTGGGACCACATAGAACTTCAGTGAGTTAGTTCCTCTGTAAGCCCATTGACTTTTCGGGTAGATTGGTTCTCTTGGAACACATAGAATTTCAGTGAGTTGGTTCCTCCGTAACCACATTGACTTTCGTGTGGTTGGTTCCTCTGGGACATAGAACTTCAGTCAGTTGGTTTTCTCTGTAACCATTGAGCTTTCGTGTAGGTTGGTTCCTCTGGGACCACATAGAACTGATTCAGTGGCAGTGTAGGTTGGTTTCCTCTGGGACCACATTGAACTTCGTGAGGGTTGGTTCTCTCTGGGACCACATTGAAATTCCCGTGAGGTTGGTTCCTCTGGGACCACAAGGAATTTCAGTGAGGTTGGTTCCTCTGTAAACACATTGACTTTCGTGTAGGTTGGTTCCTCTGGGACCACATAGAACTTCAGTGAGGTTAGTTCCTCTGTAACCACACATTGACTTTCAGGAGGTTGGTTCCTCTGGGACCACATAGAATTTCAGTGAGTTAGTTCCTCTGTAACCACATTGATTTTTCGGGACCACATAGCTTCAGGAGGTTACCCTCTGGGACCACATAGAACTTCAGTGAGGTTAGTTCCTCTGAAACCACATTGACTTTCGTGTAGGTTGGTTCCTCTTGGACCACATAGAATTTCAGTGAGGTTAGTTCCTCTGTAACCACATTGACTTTCGTGTGGGTTGGTTCCTCTGGGGACCATAGAAATTCAGTGAGTGTTGGTTTTCCTCTGGGACCATAGACTTCAAGGAGATGGTTCCAAACATTACTGACTTTCGTGTAGGTTGGTTCCTCTGGGACCACAAAGAATTTCAGTGAGGTTAGTTCCTCTGTAACCACATTGACTTTCGTGTGGGTTGGCTCCTCTGGGACCACAGAATTTCAGGGGTTTGTTCTTCCGCATCATTTTCGTGTAGGTTGGTTCCTCTGGACCACATAGAATTTCAGTGAGGTTAGTTCCTCTGTAAATCACATTGACTTTTCGTGTGGGTTGGTTCCTCTGGGACCACATAAAGTTTCAGTGAGGTTTTCGAGTTCCTCTGTAACCACATTGACTTTCAGGGGAGGTTCCTTGGTCTTCTGGGGACTTCACACATAGAATTTCCAGTGAGGTTGGCTCCTCTGCTAACCACATTGACTTTCGTGCAGGGTTGGTTCTTCTGGGACCACATAGAACTTCAGTCAGGTTGGTTCCTCTGTAACCACACAGACTTTCGTGTGAGGTTTGGTTCCTCTGGGACCACATTGGGGTGATGAGGTTAGTTCCTCTGTAACCACAAAGACTTTCGTGGGAGGTTGGTTCCTCTGGGACCACATAGAAATTCCGTGAGGTTGGTTCCTCTGGGACCACATAAAACTTCAGTGAGGTTCGTGTTACTGACTTTTTGGGAGGTTGGTTCACTGGGACCACATAGAACTTCAGTGAGGTTGGTTCCTCCTGTAATCACATTGACTTTCAGGGGGAGGTTGGTTCCTCTTGGACCACATAGAATTTCAGTGAGGTTAGTTCCTCTGTAATGACCACATTGACTTTCGTGTAGGTTGGTTCCTCTGGGACCATAGAACTTCAGTGAGGTTGGTTCCTCTAGGTTAACACATTGACTTTCGTGTAGGTTGGTTCCTCTTGGACCACATAGAACTTCAGTGGGAGTCCTCTTGTTAGTTTCGTGTGGGTTGGTTCCACTGAGGACCACTGATATTCAGTGGTTGGTTCCTCTGACCACATAGAATTTCAGTGTAGGTTGGTTCCTCTGGGACCACATAGAATTTCAGTGATTTGGTTCCTCTGTAACCACATTGACTTTCGGGGAGTTGGGTTGGCTCCTCTTCAGACCACAAAGAATTTCAGTGAGGTTGGTTCCTCTGGGACCACATAGAATTTCAGTAGGTTGGTTTCCTCTACAACCACATTGACTTTCGTGTAGGTTGGTTCCTCTGGGACCACAGAATTTCAGTGAGGTTAGTTCCTCTGTAACCACATTGACTTTCGGGGAGGTTGGTTTCTCTGGGACCACAAAGAATTTCCCAGTGAGTTAGTTCCTCTGTAACCCACATTGACTTTCGTGTAGGTTGGTTCCTCTGGGACCACATAGAACTTCAGTGAGGTTAGTTCCTCTGTAAATCACACTGACTTTCGTGTAGGTTGGTTCCTCTGGGACCATTGTTGAATTTCAATGAGGTTGGCTCCTCTGTAAACCACATTGACTTTCGTGTGGGTTGGTTCCTCTGGGACCACATAGAACTTCAGTGAGGTTAGTTCCTCTATAAATAACATTGACTTTCGTGGAGGTTGGTTCCTCTGGGACCACATAGAACTTCAGTGAGGTTCCTCTGTAGTTCTCCGTAACCACATTGACTTTCATTGGGTTGGTTCCTCTGGGACCACATAGAATTTCAGTGAGGTTGATCCTCTGTAACCGACATTGACTTTCGTGTAGGTTGGTTCCTCTGGGACCACATAGAATTTCATTGAGGTTAGTTCCTCTGTAACCACATTGACTTTCGTGTGGGTTGGTTCCTCTGGGACCACATAGAACTTCAGTGAGTTTGTTTCCTCTGTAACCACATTGACTTTCGTGTGGTTTGGTTCCTCATAGGACCACATAGAACTTCAGTGAGGTTGGTTCCTCTGGTCCATTAGAATTCAGTGAGGGGACATTCAGGGTGAGGTTGGTTCTGGGACCACATTGACTTTCGGGTGGGTTGGTTCCTCTGAACCACATTGAATTTCAGTGAAAGTTAGTTCCTCTCTGGGACCACATTGACTTTCAGTGAAGGTTGGTCCTCTGGGATACATAGAATTTCAGTGAGGTTAGTTCCTCTGTAACCACATTGACTTTCGTGTAGGTTGGTTCCTCTGGGACCACATAAACTGGTTCAGTGAGGTTAGTTCCTCTGGGAACCACATTGACTTTCGTGTAGGTTGGTTCCTCTGGGACCACATAGAATTTCAGTGAGGTTAGTTCCTCTGTAACCACATTGACATTTGGGGAGTGTTGGTTCTGGGACCATAGAACTTCAGTGAGGTTAGTGGTTCACTTAAGCACCATTGACATTCAGGGGTAGGTTGGTTCCTCTTGGACCACATAGAATTTCAGTGAGGTTAGTTCCTCTGTAACACATTGACTTTCGTGTAGGTTGGTTCCTCTGGGACCACATAGAACTTCAGTGAGGTTAGTTCCTCTGTAACCACATTGACTTTCGTGTTTCATTACGTTGGTTCATCTGGGACCACATAGGGCAGTGAGTTAGTTCCTCTGTAAGTGAGGTTAGTTCCTCTGTACCACATTGACTTTCGTGTGTAGGTTGGTTCCTCTTGGACCACATAGAACTTCAGTGAGGTTAGTTCCTCTGTAACTACATTGACATTCAGGGGT